CCTCACCGCGACCCCCCGCCCGCCACCGCCACCCCCGGCACCCCCCGACCCGCTCCGCGACCCCCGCGGCTCCGCCACCGCTTCCTCGCCACACTCTTTCCCCCCCTCCGCCCCCCCTTCTCCGCCCCCCCTTCTCCGCCCTGCACGGCGCCCCCCGCCCCCGCCTCCCCCCGGCCTCCATTGCGGCGCCCGCCCGGGGGAAGGGGTGGGGTCGTGGCGCCCGGCCAAGGCTCCCTGTGGGCCCCGCGGGGGGGGGGCGGCCCGGGCCGGGGGGGGGGGGGGGGGAAGGCCGGTCATGGGTGGGGTCCCCCGGGGCCGCCCCGCGCGGGGGTGTCGGGCAGGGCCCGTCCCCGCGCACCCCCAAGGTCGTTACGGGCCGGGGGGCGCCGGCCCGGCCCGGCCGCGCTCGCTCGCGGCGCGCCCCGGGAGGGGCTTGTTTTGACCCCCCTCGCCCGTTCCCTTATCTCCCCCCGGCCGGCTGCGGGCAGGGGGGGCCGCGGTGATAATCCCCCCGCGGGGCCGGGGCGCTGCTGCCCGGAGGAGCCCGGCGGGATAAGCCTCTCCCCCCCGCGGGACTGCGCAGCGGCCGGGCCGGGAGAGCTCGGCCAGAGGGGGCTGCAGCCCCCGCTCCGGCCAAAACACCCCCCTGCTCGCCCGGGGAACTGCCGCTGCCTTCTCCTGGCCGGCCCACCCTCCAGGGGTCTGGAGTTTGAGGTGGTGGGGCGGTTCAGGTACCCCGAAGTGCGGTGCTGAGCCCCCCGTGAGAGAGCCGAAGGTCCCTGCCCTCTTCCCCCGGGATTGCTGCGTTGGGAGGCTGGAGGCAGGGACAAAGTCACGGGCAGATCGCTGGGAACGTGGGCTGGGAGCTGGGCACTGCCAGGGCAAGGGCTTCCTTGGCTGTGCTGCTCCAGAAGTGTGGGAAAAAGTTGGTTTGGGAAGCTGTGTCAGGAGAGGTTCAGGTGGGATCTCAGGGAAAGGTTCTTCCCCCAGAGGGTACTGGGCACTGACCAGGCTCCCCAGGGCAGTGGGCACGGCCCCAAGGCTGCCAGAGCTCCAGGAGGGTTTGGACAACGCTCTGAGGGACAGGGTGGGATTGTTGGGGTGTCTGAGCAGGGCCAGGAGTTGGACTGGATGATCCTTGTGGGTCTCTCTCAGCTCCATGGTTCTCTGGGAAGCCCTGCGTGCGGAGCAGGACTCCGGCACCTCAACCAGGACGTGTAAATCCCGGCGTTCCCGTGTCGAAAGCAACAGTTCCTGTTGTACAACCACAGCCGACGTGACTGCCTGGCCCCCAGCCTGGCTCTCCCTGTTCCCAGCTCCTGGAGACCCTTAGTTTGCAGGGCAGGGGGAGGTTGGGCAGCCAAAGTTTCTCTGGGCTCAAGGACTCTTGGTAAGAGTTTGCTGCCAGTCTGAGTTCAAGATCAGCCCTTGTGTCCCCAGGGCTGTTAATTGTCCTGGCTATCGAAGCCATAACTTATATAATAAGTATTTTATGGACATGGGTAGAGAAAGGCTCTGCCTGGAAGAATTTACAACCTAATGAGGGTTGAAGTTGTGCTCGGCGTAGCAACGGAGCTAAAAGGTCATCCCGGCGCTTTCTGAAAGTGTTTGGGTTGGTTCTTGTTGGTGTTTTTCAAGGAATTGTTTTATTTCTCAAGGTTTCTGCCGGGCCTGGTTGGAAATTGTAGTATGTGGGCACTTGTGGAGGCTGAGCAGGAAGAGACGGGCTGGCTTTAATTCGGGTGGTTTGCTGGAGTTGTTGGATTTAAACTACTTTAAAAAAAAAAGAAAAAAATAAATAAAAAAATAAAAGAGACCGAGAGAAACTGAGCAGTTTATTAGAGAGGAGCCATTCTTGTTTAATATTCATTCTGGCCCCTGTTTAGGCTTGTTCTGGTGAAAGAGGGAGTGAAGAGGCGCAACCCAAACATGGGTGAGATGGTGGGATTTTTCCACCAAGCCTTAATTGCATTAGTAACTCCAGGGAGGGTTTTGCAAGGCAGGAGCTCCTTAATAAATTTGGTGGTGAATGAAAGCGGTTCTTCGCTTTCTGCTGCTCTGCAACTCTTCCTGTGCCTATTCTTTTTTTTCTTTTTTTTTTTTTTTAATTATTAATCGTTTTTCGCTCGCGTTTCCTCTCGTGGGGTCTGGTGCTGAACTTCAGCCGTGCCGTGGGTTTCGTGAGGGGCTCTGCTCCGTGGAGCTGAGCTGGGTGGGATTCATTTGGGCCCAGCAAAGGCCGCGGGTTTCCCTTCGTGTCGGGCGACTTCTCGAAGCCAAATTAAAAATTCCAGTTGTTCTCATCCGGCGTGGGAATCTGGATGTGGGCATGGGAGGCAAATCAGGGGGAAATTTATGCTCCCATCGAGGCGCTGGGATGGTTTGGGTGCTCTTGTCTTCTCTGAGACCTTCTTTGGGCATCAAGTCCTGCCCAAGTGCTGGGTTTTAGCTGCAGGATCAAGTCCCACGTGGGTGTCCCACCTAAAAACTGAGGGGTGGCCTGTGAAATTCCCGGTCTGTGTTCGAGACTGGAGCCTAAACACTCGAGAACTGTGGTTTAATCTTGATTAAAACTGACACTTGAGGGTTTTTCCCCCGTCTCAGGATGCTGAGTTTATTGGGAGAGCAGACTTGTGTGGTGAACAATTAGAACCCGGCTCGTTATCTTGCCTAGTCCAGGCAATAAACAGTTGCTTTAACTACGCTCCCAACCAGCCTTAACCTCAAATTCGAGCAGACCAGGCTGTAATTAAAAGCCTTTAGACGAGCAGAACTCAGGGAAAGGGAGAAAGACAGGCAGTCTGTGGGATGAAGGGAAACATTCATCCCCGATCCCGCGACCCTTTGATCCGAACGGGCGCTTGCGTCCGGTGTGTCCGTCCCGATCCCTGTGCCTGGAGCATCCCGGAGAAGCTCTGGGAGGACGTCAGCGGGAGTAAACGAGGTCAGACGAGCGCTGGGATCCTCTGCGAGTATCCAGGGACAATTGTTTCCCTCCCAGCTCCCTGCCCCGTATCGCCTTCCCTCCGCATAGTTTCAGTTTCCGTGTCAGCGCCGGCTCCGGTGGCAGAGTCCGGGCGGCCGCAGAAGCACCTTGGGAGCGCGGCGGGGGCTCCTTTTCCCGGTGCACTCCCAAGGATTTGGGAATCTTCCTGCCGTGGCAGGTGGGAGGGAACTCGGGAGGGCTCGCTGGGCGTCCTCTCGATGTGACAAGGTGCGAGAAACTGGAACCGGGCTGGAGCTGCCCCGCGGGCGCAGGTGGGAGCCAAGGCCACGGTGGTGAGATGAGCCGCAGATCCCTTGGCAATCAGCGGCTTCCCAGCGCCCATCCCTGAAAAAAACCGTGCGTGGCTGGCCCGGCAGGAGTGTGGCTGGCCCGGCAGGAACTTGGCTGGCTCGGGGGGGAGTGTGACCGTGACCTCCCCGGCCGCCGAGGCTCCTCACGGATCTGGGCGGCGACTCCCGGCCGGCACCTTCGGGATCGTTTTCCTCCCGTTTTCCACCACGTGAGACCCTCTCCCTGCCGTGGGAAGGGCCGCTGCTGGCATTTTCCACAGCAGAGGATGCTCCCAGGCGTCCCGGCGCTGCGTTTTAACTCCCTCCTGCCCGCTCTCAACCCCGCTCGTGCGCCCGTTTCCTTCCTGCTTCGGGCACCTCCTTATTTCCCACCGGCAAACTGGAAACCAGTAAGTTGATGTCCTGGTGTTGAGTTTTGGGGTTTTTTTTTGTTGTTGTTGTTGGAGCTGGGAAGGTGCTGGAGGTGGGCTTGTAGCTACAGGTTGCTGTTCTCCAGTTCCTGGGAGCCTCCTGCCCGGACAGGCAGAGCACACACGCAGTCCCGGAGCAGCGTTCCCAGAGCAGCGTTCCCTCCTCCTTCCATCCCCCTGCTCCGAGGAGGAGAGCGTTACAGGGGATGAAACTCCGGGGATTCGCTGTCACATGGAGTCGGGAATGTCGGGAAGAGCTGCCTGTTAATCCACAAACTGGGAATTACATAAGGGACTGCCCTGTCTGCTCCGGCGCTAAACTCCGCTCTTATTCCTTATTTATGGTCCTTTTTTTTTTTTCCCCCCTCCTTCCCGGTGTGGAAAAGAACAACGGGTGTGAGAGGTGTCATTTGAGGCAATTAGATTAATGCCAGAGCTCCGGAAACGTCAGGAGAGTCGGGGGAGGGGGGGACACGGGGGCTGGAAGGGAAACCTGTGACAGGGCTGAGGGAGGGGAGAGGGATGGGTGGGTTTGGGGTCGTGAAGGGAGCAGGTCAGGAAAGGGGGGGAGGGCTGTGGGAATGGGGGGATTTGGGACTTATGGCTCGGTTTAGGAGACCACAGGAAGCCGTGACAGGGGAGGGGGAATGTGGGATGAAAGGGTCAACGGTGTCCAGGGCCAACGGGAATGGGGGGATTTGAGGAGTTTTTATGGTTTTCTTGTTTTAGGAGACCAGGAGAAGCTGTGACAGGGGAGGGGGAACATGGGGTGAAGGGGTAAATGGTGTCCAGGACCGATGGGAATGAGGGGATTTGAGACTTATGGCTCAGTTTAGGAGACCACAGGAAGCTGTGACAGGGAGGGGGACATGGGGTGAAGGGGTCAGTGGTGTCCAGGGCCAACGGGAATGGGGGGATTTGAGGTGTTTTTATGGTTCTCTTTTTTTTAGGAGACCAGGAGAGGCTGTGACAGGGGAGGAGGAATGTGGGATGAAAGGGTCAACAGTGTCCAGGACCAATGGGAATGGGGGGATTTGAGGTGTTTTTATGGTTTTCTTGTTTTAGGAGACCAGGAGAGGCTGTGACAGGGGAAGAGGAGTGTGGGGTGAAAGGGTCAATGGTGTCCAGGGCCAATGGGAATGGGGGGATTTGAGGTGTTTTTATGGTTCTCTTGTTTTAGGAGACCAGGAGAAGCTGTGACAGGGGAGAGGGAATGTGGGGAGAAGGGGCCGATCCTGACCTGTGAGAATGGAGGGATTTGAGGAGTTTTATGAGTCTCAGTTTAGGACACAGTGAGACCTGTGACAGTGGATCAGCAGCTTACTCCTGCAAGGATCTTGGGACCTTCAGGTTGGAAAAGAAACCTCCTCCAGCCGGGACTCAAGCACAGCTTCACGTTCTATGGAGTTTTTTCCCCTTTTTCTGTGTAACTCCTGAGGTTCTAAAATATTGAGGAGAACTGGGGCTGGCTTAGGTGTTTTCTGCAGGATCTCCTGGAAACCCTGCTGTGGTTTTGGAGGGAGCTGCTCCATGAGGGAGAGAACCTGTCAGAGGAGTGTGGGCACGTTTGGGCTGGGCTCAAAAGAGTTGTTACAGCAGCAGAACAAGCAGATTCCAGAAGTGTGGAAGGCCAGGGTATCCAACTTTCCTGGGACTGTGCTTGTGTGGGCTCAGGCTGAGGATTGAGGGAAGCCTGGGAGCGACTCACGGCATCACTGGAGCAGAGATGGGTTTGGAGCACCTTGGGATTGAAGGTCTCTGGGCAACTCTCAGTCTCTGGGGTGGATTGTGGCTTGTTTTGTCTCGGAGCAGAGGTGGGTTTGGAGCAGGGATTGAGGGTCTCTGGGCAGCTCTCAACCTCCTCAGTGGATTGTGGCCTGTTTTCTCTTGGAGCAGAGGTGGGTTTGGAGCAGAGGTGGGTTTGGAGCAGGGATTGAGGGTCTCTGGGCATCTCTCAGCCTCCTCAGTGCATTGTGGCCTGTTTTGTCTGGGTGCAGAGAAGCTCCTGTGGTACCAATGCCAGCACAGAGACCTCTGTGCCCTGGTGGTGCCGTGGCCCTTCCCGTTGAGAAACCCCCAGTTTCCTGTTGAGGCACCCCCAGTGCCATTGCTGGGGGGGCCTTCCCACACCAAAACACCCCCCTGCACGTGCAGGGACACATGTGGACCGTGGGCCTGTGACTCCCCGGGCTCAAAATAAGGCACATTCCTGCCGGATTAAACACGGGCTCTGATGACAAAGGAGAAAATTGGCGAGGAGGTCTCCGGGTGGAGGAACCAGTTCGGGGGAGCCTTGCAACACGAGAGGAGTTTCTGTGCGTCCTGTCAGTGGGGTGAGGGCTCCCTGCTGCTCCCTGGGGTGGTGGCAGGTCAGGAAGGTCCATGCCTGGTTGGGATCTGGGCTGTTTGGCCCTGTGGCCAGTGGCTGTCGGGGCTCCACGTCCTACTTTTTGCCGGCGGTCGACGCTGTGGTGCAAACCCAAGTTCCCCGTGTGAGCTGTGCCCTGGAAGGAAACCCCATCCCAGTCACAGACATCCCAGGGAGCTGTGGGGTCACAGAGTGTGGTGTTTGGTCATTCCTCACCTTCTTGGATCGTGGGAGGGACTCCAGCATCCTCGGAGAGGGAACCGTGCCATTGTGTGCAAAACACAAACCTTGTCCTGGGAGAGTCTTTTCCCCCCTTCCCAGGCCTTTGGGATGGGTTGGGGTGAGCCCTGTGTGCTGCAGCAGGTGGCTTTCCCTGGCTGGTTGTGGTTTAATTCCCTGGGATAGCAGCAGGAATGGTCTCAGCCTCATGGGTGTGTTCGGAGGTCGGAGTTTGGATGGATGGACAGAGCCAGGCAGGGGAGGCAGGGAGAGAAACGGGGCTGGGAGGGCTGGAGGGTCCATCAGTGGGTGGGTTTGGGGTTGAAGGTGGTGGGTGTGAGCTCATTCCTTGTTCTTGCACTGTCCATGCCACAGGAAGAGTTCCACAGGCAGAATTCCACAGGCAGCTTGTCCTCCCCTCACCTGAGCCAGCGTGTGAAAAACGCAGTTTTGGAAAACAAAGAGTGATGAGCCCTTTTTCTTCTTGGTGGCTCTGTAGCAGCATCCCTAAAAATTCCCTGTAGCATGATGAGGAATGCCAGCCCTCCAGGGTAGTCACCATCTCCCTGCTCCATCCTGGTCACACCATCCTTCCTGCTGCTGCCAGTGGGATTTGGGAGCCCCATTCCAGTGGCTCTGGTTGGCACCAGTGGTCACTGTCACCACCAAGGTGTCCTGGTGAAGTTCTCCTTCTCTCTGAAGGGCTGGAAGGGGGAGGGGGGCAGCTTGGAATACTGAGAAGATCATAAATGGGATGAGGAGTAAACATTTAAATGGATCCCTTGGGAATGCCTTCAACCCCTTCCCATGGTTTGCCTCGGCTCGCAGGGAGAATTCCGGCTGAATTCCCGCCAAAACCTGCCTGTCCAGGAGCTGCTGGGCACTGGGTCACCTTGAGGAGAGGCTTGGTGTTCCCTCACAGTCCTGATCCTTGGAGGAGACGACACCACAGGCCGTGGGTTTGGGGCTTCATCACCCAAATCCTTCCCCAGCTCTCCCGGCCCAATTTAGATCCTCTGCCAAATAGATGGACCCTGGGCAGGCTCCTGGGAATTGAGCACAGGATGCAGCCATTCCCCAGCGAGGAAATGGCTGGATGGGAGCTGGGAATTGCTGGGAATTGCTGGGAAGGGCTGACTTTGCTCTGCACATCGACCCCTTGGGCCAGCTCAGGGCCAGGAGAGCAGAGCACTGCGGGCAAAGCCGTGTCCTGGCACTGCCCCTCCCTCCGAGCTGCTGCAACTGGGATGGTTGTTGTTATTCCTTTATTAATATGAAGGAGAATAAAGGTGATTAAAGTTCCTGGGATGCCTGTTGAGTGTCTTGGGGTGCTCAGTTCCAGCTCTCCATCCAGATTTCACCGGGAGTAATCGCTCTTCCTGCCAGAGTTCCCTTGGCAGCAGGTGCAGGATGTGGGATTCTCCTTCCCCGTGCTGCGAGATCCTCGCGTGTCCTGCCCTGGCCAAGTGTCCCCAAATGTATCAGGTGGACAATAAATCAGTGTCCTGTCAATTAATGGCTTGTGAAGGGTTTGGCTCTTCTCTTTGCAAGGGCCTGGAGTGACAGGGCCAAGGGGGAATGGCTTCAAATGGAAAGAGGGGGAAATTTAGATGGGATATTGGGAAGGAATTCCTGGCTGTGAGGGTGGGGAGGCCCTGGCACAGGTTGGGCAGAGAAGCTGTGGCTGCCCCATCCCTGAAAGTGTCCAAGGTCAGATTGGAGCAACCTGGGATAGTGGAAATTGTCCCAACCCAGCCCAGGGGTGGGACTGGATAATTTTTAAGGTCCTTCCAACCCAACCCATCAGTGATTCCAGCAGCAGGGATATGTTGCTCCGTGCTGCAGGATCAGTGCTCGGTGTATCTGCGGGGTAGATTTTGGGGTAGATCCCCTTTTCCTCGAAGCAGCTGCCGGGTGAGAAGCAGTCCCAGAACAAGAGTCGATTAACTCCGTGCTGGAGCTTCCTGTGCTTCCCATATTCCTGCCCATATTTGCAGGCAGGAGGAGGGAGAGGCAAACCTCCCTGGCAGGTTGGACCTGGCAGGGGCAGGAAAGCCCCGGCTGTTTTGGTTACCTGATAGTGCCGCGAGTCCGTCGGGTTGGACTGAAATGAGGGGCGGCTGCTGGAGCGGAGGAGACGCCGTCCCACGACTCCATGTTAAATTTGGGACACTGAACCATCCCAGAATGGTTGGGTGGGGAGGGATCTTAAAGCCCATCCAGTGCCACCCCCTGCCATGGGCAGGGACACCTTCCACTATCCCAGGTTGCTCCAACTCGGCCTTGGACACTTCCAGGGATGGGGCAGCCACAGCTTCTCTGGGAATTCCATCCCAACCCCTCCCCACCCTCCCAGCCAAGAATTCCTTCCCAATATCCCATCTAAATTTCC